CTCTTTCTGAAACTGGTACGCCTTTATTTAAACTTTTGCCTCATCCCTATGTGTTTATTCTATAGTCTCATTCTTTTGAGTGGTTTGATGTTCATGCTTTCGTAACTTATGCTAAGTATTTTTCCTTTCTTTGCTTCTGTTCTCATATGAATCCCTACCCCTAATCCCCTTTATGTGTTGAGTTGAAACCTTGGCCTGACAGTATCCCAATTACTGCCCAGGCCATGGTTTGACCTTCAATAGGTCCTGACTCTCCAATGTTTGGCTAGTGGGCTGGTCAGGGGTATGCCAGCATTCTATGTTGCTGGGCATGACCACCAGCCTGCCTTGGCATCCCCTAATTCCCTCTATTGCACTTACACTTGTTCCTAGATTCTAAGTTCTGCCCCCCTCCAATGAGCCTTGCCTTGGGACCTTGAGTTCCCTCTGAACTTGGACATTGGAGGGTTGGCCCTTCCACACTGCCCTTTAATTCAGTTCTGTAATGATATCTGGGTGTAAGCATTGCCTGGAGTTCTTGAAACTCCTTGGAAATTTGACACATTCCAGATAAGAGAAAGGCCTTGGAACTTGATCCCGGCAGGTTGCTCGTATCATGTTGTTAGACCTTGGGTCGGAATTAGGCTCCATGGATGCAGCTTAAAAGCTCTGATGTAATTTTATTCTCTGATTGATTCATTTGGTCTGTAATAAATTTTAAAATAACTTATGGGGTTTTAGTAAAAAGGGGAGGGTTATATGTGTATGCATAAGGGTAGATATCCTGCCTATAGGAGTTTTTCTTTGAATTTCTGCACTTTCATCTATAGAAATCATGCTCACAGGAATTCTGCACTTTCATATGTAGAAACCATGCTCACAGGAATTCTGCACTTTCCTATGTAGAAATCATGCTCACAGGAATTCTGCACTTTCATATGTAGAAACCATGCTCATAGGAATTCTGCACTTTCATATATATAGAAATCATGCTCATAAGAACTCTGCATATCATATAGATATCCTGCTCATAAGAATTCTGCATGTAGGAACCATGTCTTTAAGATTCTGCATTTTTTTTTTTGCGTCTATCATTAGGCAAACAGTTATAGGGCAAAAGAATAATCAATTGCATCCTAGATACCATGCTTGTAGGATTTTCTGCACTCTTGCCACGCCTGTAAAAAGTGTGTCAAATTAACAACGCTAGAAAGCATGCCTATAGGAACTATCAACCCAATCTGAATCACTCGTTTTAAGATTAGTCTGTCACTAGTAACCAAATGCAGAACTCGTATCATTCTGTTAAAACTGGCAACTTTCAGTAATCAGTTCACTTCCTTATTCCCGAAACCAGTAGATGCCATCACCTAGGCAAACAAGTAAGTAGTTAATTAATTGCACCAGTCTTCGATAAGTTACAACCAGGCGAGCCTAATTCGAACTTCATGTCTAAAAATATGTAATGAACCAGCCTGCCTAACGTTAAGCATAATTTGGACCTAATCAGTATATGTAAGACGTGCTAAACTACATGATTTTTGTGATTAAAGGAGGTTTGTCTGAGCCCTAATTGGTTTTGTGCTCCCATAATTGTTTTATGTGTTTTGCCTGACGCCTTAGCATTTTAACCTTTTGAACCTCTGAAAAGCCAAGCTCCCTCCCTTTAGAATTAGTGGTCCTAAAGCCTCCAGGACTGATAGGTGGGACGGGTAATAGCATGCTGTAGGTAACGACACCATTTCGCGCTTAATACCTTATCGGGGTGGGAAGGGTAGACATAGAGATGATGATCACACGATAACACTACGCGTACGATTGGTTACCGGTGTTGTGTGGATGATCAATGCGATTTATAAACCTAGGACCCCTTGCCCTATGTTTAATATCAATAAATTCTGTCTTTTCAATTACCCAAAACTCCCCTTTATTTTTTACTGCATTATCCCTTTTCCTTCTTTGTTTATAAATTCCAACATGCTTGTTAGCGACCCTTATGTGTAAATTTATTTGCATACTTGTTTACATTAAAGTCACAACATAGCATGGCCGGGAACCACACTAGTGGATCTTTAAGGGTGCCTAACACCTTCCCCTCGAGATAATTTCTAGCCCTTACCCGAACTCTGGTTTTCCAATTCAAAATCCTTCTTAGTGTCCTAATGCACTCAATCATTAGGTGGCGACTCTTCAATTCCAAAAACTCAATTCCCAAATGGGAATAGAGTTGTCTTCCCGAATGTCGTAAACCCGATTTCGTGAGAAAAAGGGGGCGTCGACATATATGAGATTTGAAGAAGGCCTAATTCATTTTCTAGATTAGTGCAGTTTAGTATTTCGCCTCAATATACAATAGAAACAAGTTCTAGCAATTTTTCAACACTTCAAATGAATAACTTGAACTAATTGAAATTTGAATCCTTCTGTACTTTGTAGCCAAATATATTAAAGGATGACAGAACACAAGAAGTCACAGGTAAAGATTATTCCGGAAAAGATCTTAAAATATCAAGCGATATTTCTATTCTTTGTTTATTCTAGTTGCCTGTCTTAACCGTGTCTTGATTTTTCCATCCCAAAAAAAAAAAGTTATCAGATTTTTTTTTCTTTTTTTCTTTTTTTTTAACTGCAGAAACACTTACTCATTATAGAAAGATCATAATGCATCTATTATATTATACTATACTATATTATACATGCATCGTTATATTAACTATTTAAGCCGACTAAAAACATGATTATTTCTAGCTTAAGAGTAGCTTAAAAGCTAGAACAGGAAAAACGTTCTTGCCTAATATCCGTCTTATCTAAACAACCCATCCATGCAACTTTTAAAACACACAAAAACATAGAAAAAGCACAAAAGTTGTTACCTCCCCCACACTTAAATTTTACATTGTCCCAAATGTAAAACTTAAGCAGGGGGTTGTTGATTTATTTTCCTTCATTGTCTCCACTGCCATTGTCCTCTTTCTGATTCTGCGTATTTGAAGTGCCTTCGCCATTACCACTACCACTGCCACTTGCTTCTTGTCCAGGTGTCCCAGGATGTGGTGTCTCTTGAAAAAACTGCTCCTCTCGTGCAAAGTTTAGGTACTGGGTTGGCTCCGGGATTTGCTGTTCTTGTCCATCTGCATTAAAAAATTGAAAATCCATATTCTGACAGGGAAATGGGGAGACTACAGGGGAAACATCTGAGACACGCGAGGGGTATCCTATTTTGCTCATTACATTCCCTATAGCACTGAGAATACTAGTCTTAAGAGCAGCGACTTCCTCTTGCATCTGTTGTTTGTTGCGTAAGAAGAGTATCAATTTTTTCCTCATTCCTTTGAACCCGCTGACGAATTCCTTGATGCCTTTGCTGTTCGTATCTCTTTCCCTGAGTTATGATTGGAGCGTGCTCACCTGCAGGTCCAACACATGGCCCCAAAAGACTAAGAACTCCCATTCCGATATCTGATGGATGAAGAAATCCAAGATCAGGATGTCGCCGTGTTTCACAAAGATTAATCAGCTTAGTGATGGTGGAACCATGGTAAAAGGATTTCACTGTCCTTTTTGTCCGACATCGTTTGATATTTTCACAAATTATCCGTCCAACATTAATAGCAAAACAATTTTCAATAGCATATAACCAAGCTGCTCTAGTTATTCCTATTTCACTTGTGTTGCGATGTGGTACCAGACGGTCATTCATGAATAACATCCAAACTTTTGCTAGTATGCTGAGGTTCCTGGCACTAAACCATGTTCGATTACATTCAGGATCAATGTGCCAGTCAATACCATTAGCACAGAGTGGTGCAGCAACAACGTCAAAGTTTGGTTCTCTCACCAGTTCCTGAAAAACCTCATCATCTACATCTGGTATTTCATATACTTTGTTGATGAATTCAGGACCAAAATAAATGGTTTCCCCCCCGAACTATTGACGTATGAGTTTCCACGTCGAGAGTTAGTACTGCTTGTCCGGGATTTTGAACAAATTTTGTCCAGCGTAGACGTTCTGTTGAAACAAACACCGGAAAAATTTGCTCACCGTCTTGTGCAGAGAAATCGAGTCCTCTTTCCTCAACAAGGTTACGACGTATTTTTCTAGCTGCCCAGTCTGCTGCTTCAGGTGAAATAAAATATCTCATGTCGAGCTGGAGAACAACAGCTCTGTGCCTATTTGGAGCAGCAACTATTTCCCTGTTTAGGGTTGCAGCTATTTGCCTATTTTGAACCATGCTTATTATAGTAATTTTTAGAAAAGAAAAGAACTTGATGTGAAAGGGTTAAAGAAAATAGAAGAAAGTAGGAGTTTAAACAGTATTCAAAAACAGTGGAGAACGTTGGAAATGTTCTGGACTTGATAGTGAAAGTTATTTGACCTTTACTGAGGGTGAAAAGTTTATTTATAGCTGGTTAGTCTAGTACAATACTGTGAGGAAAACATTCCAGCTATTATCCAAAGAATAACAGCACCTTGGGTCTTATCAAAGATTGTCTGTAGGTAAAGTTTTGTACTTTGTTGTTACTTGACAGATCAGTGTAAAATAGCTCCACGCCTCTTCCATGCCTTAAATCCTTTTAACTTTCTCTTTAACCAACGTCACATCATTCTGAAGATTGAGACAATAAATTTTCTTAGACTTCGCTCGTAAAATTTTATTTAGTATCTCGTACAACTAACACTAGTTGTATGAGGTATTTTATTTATCTCACAGTTTTGTGGATCCAAATTTTATGAATTCAGAAGTGTAAGATTTGGGTTCCACAAATTTGTAAGAGAAAAAGGAGTCTCACACAATTAATATAAGTTGTGTGAGACACACAATAAAACTTTTCGACTTTGCTCAAACATAGTAGTCCATTTAACCAACTTTACATTATTCTACTTTCTTTTTACCCT